TAAGGGAGCATCATTTGTTTCTCCCAGACACAATTAAATCTCAGATAAAGTTCTACATTATCTTTGTTATGATACAGTTACTTCAGAGTGAAGTGCGGGGCATCACTTTGTCTAGTTAATTTTATAATTATTTTTTTGTTGTAATTAAACTTATTTGAAAATATTCGTTCATATTTCAGCCGTATCTCAATTTTTTTTTACTTTATAAAATTAGTTTATATGTGTTACCCTATATTCTTATGTGTAGAATACTCTTAAACATTTAAACATAAGAATAGAGGGTAAATACATAAATTATTATTGTTAAATCGCATTGATAAGAGTTTGAACACTTAAGACAAGGTAAAAAAGTTGATGTAAAAAAAAGCCTATTTTCAAATTATAAATTAACTGCAAAAAATAAAAAAGGGGGTCTCCCAACAATCTCTTTTGCATGGACTACTATATTTTCAATATAATACTTCAATGATAAGATAAAATAGTAACATATGGTATTGAATAGTGATACCGCACCGGAGAGGATTTGCCGTGGCACCATGGGACGCTTAAACAATATACTATGTAAATTTTGACACATTCGTGTTTATATGTTAGCTGAGATCGATAATTATGGAGCTTTTCTTAAAAAGGACTTCGATGTTTTTCGTCATTTGTATTATTAAACGACATTTTATGAATATACTAAACAAGGATTTGTATAGTACTATACAAATCCTTGTACTAAACAATAAGATTAATGTATGACGGAGAACATAAAGATAGCATATCCTAACAATGATTTTGATGCTATGATATCTTACTGTATACATTCAAAATACTTGCATTTACTTCTCTGATCATTTCTTATAATGATAAGAATAATATTCCCTATACCTTTTCATTATACAAAACTTGTATAAAATTTTGTATGTTTTGAATAACATTAAAAATTGCACGTTGTCATCTTTTCTATTTCAATTTAGTTTTTCAGATTTCGTAGACATTTTTTTTCAATAATACAATCATGCAATTGTGTATTCAAATATTTGATAATAATAATATAATTACTCAAATCAAAATAAGATTAATTAGACAGAGCCTTTAAAAAAACGAAAACAAAACCAACACTTTTTGCATATTTTTCTTCAAGATGTCAACAAAACCACACTACTTTTAAAATTTTGATGTTTAAAGAACTCTTTGGTATAATAGAAATTAATATATTGTTTAAAACCTAACTAGATATTTAAAATGATGGATGTAATTAGAAAAGAAGTTCACATCATAAAAATGAGAATTCAACTAAATAACAAGACCAATTTGTCTTTGAATATGGTCAATCTTAGTTGAATGAATATACATCGTATTTATAATTCATAAATAATGAAGTTTCACTTTCAAATGCTTAGGGACAACAGTAAACATTACTTTAAAATGACGATTCTTATACCATTTGATAGGAAAATTATTTGCCAATACTGTATAATTTGTTAATTTGATTTACAATAAAAAATGAATTTAATATGATTTTTTTATAAAATATGTATACCTCGTAATTTAACATATCTCAACCAAAAGAGAACCCGACGTTTAACATGATAGGGACACCAGTAAATATCAAGATAAAGTGGATTTTATTACACCATTTCAAAGCTAAAAAATTGGTGTGATCTCTATAATTTATTAATTTTATATGAGATTTATAAAATAGACATAGTAATCGTTTAATTAGCTAGTGGTCATAATTCCCCATAGACGATAACGTTAAAAAAAATTCAATGATTACGGTTCTCTGTGTGGTAGCTGATAAAGCCATCCAGCTGAGCTGTCCGCAATTCTTGTGTATGCTTATGTTTTACTACCCTTGAAGAGACTAAAAAGTTTTTTTTTAGTTTTGGTAGAGGTCACTCGTGACATAAGATTTGTTAAGTTTGGCCTGAGACTACTATAGTCATGAATGACCTCTACCTAACTAAACAAACCTAAATATGTCAAAAATTACCTCTGCCTAACCTGACCCCTGTATCAATTTGTAGTATAACCAACAATTTTGGTTTATCTGAAGGACATTGGCAAATATACTACATCCCCTTATTTTATATCCAACTAAAAAGTATTTTTGAAGAAAGTAGAAATCTTAAGACTGACTAACATGCATGCTTGGTAAATTCAAAGCCTATACAAATTTTTAAGAGGAGACAAAATCATAAGGTGTTCGCTTTATGGTAAAATGATTGGTATTCACTTTGAATCTTCACTGTTCCCCTATTTCCCAATCCTCTAAAGTTTAATTCCATTGGTTGCTTGTTATAAAATGTTTATTTCTCAGTTGGCTTGATATATGTGTTTGGAGTTTTTTTCATGAACTTACTATTTTCTTTACCAATGATTGATTGATTGATTGGTGTTTAACACCACTTTCAACACTATTTTGCTATTTCGTGGCAGTCAGTTTCTATTGGTGGAGGAAGCCGGAGTGCAAATGAAGAAATGGAGCCATTATAAACCACAGCTAATTCTCTTTCCTTTTATTTATTTTATCATTTGCTATTTATAAAGGTAAAGGTCACTTAAAATACCATACTTATGTAGTTGCTTAGATGTTGGACTAAATGCAAAACTTAACCAATACTGAAGGATTGATTGATTGATTTTTGTTCGAATCCACTTTCAACACTGTTGTGCTATTTTGTGGCAGTCAGTTTTTATTGGTGGAGGAAGCCAAAGTGCCTTGACAGAGCCACAGACCTTCGGTAGGAAAACTAACAATCCTAGTCAATTAAGATTGGAGTCGAATGCACCCACAACTTGCAGGATTGAACTCACAAATTCACAACCCCAGTGTTTACAGGCTAGTGATACAGTAGTTCAACTACTTAGATAACTCAGCAACCGTCCATTCTTAAGAAAAATGAAGGTCAAGCTTATTTATAAATGAAAAATCTACCAATGAAAGAACATTTTATTATCAATTGTAGTTATTTCGATCTGGACATTAACATTAAACCTAATAAAGGTAATTCATTCTAAACATGAAAGCCAATGTCACCTACTTTTTTGTAGACCTCTGTCACTTAACATGATGCATAATTGCTCTGGACTTAATTGTAAAGCTAAGCCAGAAAGAACAACATTTCCTAACATTATATCCCTCTTAAACTAAATTAGGTGAGAAGATTAATAAGCTGTCATTTAAGACAGCTCTATTTCTTTATTTGCACTTTGAAACACAGCTAAAATGATAAAAATCATTTCCCTCATTATATAAGAATTCTGCATACAAATTTACTTTGGGCATTGTACACAAGATCCTGCCTTCTTGCACTATTTATGATATTGGTGATCCGTAGTGCAGCTGCCAATATTAGAGTATAGAAATGCATGATTTCCCTATCAGCATGTGTTGTTGGGTTGCTGTCCCTTTGACCTATACCACACATTTCCTTTTGTTCTGATAAATCATAACATCCTCTAACTGTACTATGATAATGAGCCAAATTATGAACAAGTAAAAATTAAACATTAACACACACAACAAAAATAAAATACCACATAACAACTGTGACATCTACCTTCATAACACACATGACTTGATAAACTGCTTCTACGAGCGCAGCTGGATACGACTGCAGAGGTCCAACCCTGAACAAATGGGGCAAAAATGGACACAATATTCAAGCTTGATACAGGTCTGAATTTGGATTGTAAATATTTGACACATTATAGGTTTCTGACATAGACTAAATGTAGTCAAGGAACTTGAAATTGGTTATATGATTTGAATTTATATTCAGTTTAAGATTTCTTGCTGTTGTGCAATACACTGTGCTGTTGCGTAATACATGTACTTAGTAAATCTGTTTTCAGACTATATACAAAGAATTAGCAAAATAAATTGTGACCCCCAATTTTTCTTTGGAAAATTGACAATTTCTTAAATCTTGATGAAAAAATTACCCCCCTCCAAAAAAAATAATATTTGAAGAAATTCTCTTTTTAATTTCTTAAATCTTGAGGAAAAAAAATTGCTCCCCCCAAAAATTTTTTTTTACCCCTCCCCTCCTCCAAAAAAAATTATATTTGAAGAAATTTTCTTTTTGTAAAATGTGGTACAATTTAAGAGACATCCATACACTTAAAACACAAGTTATTGTCTGAAAACTAGAAAAATGCTTGTTTAAGACCCTTTTAGATCCCTAATTCCTGAATGGTTTGGTTTTTTACCCCCAAAATAAATCCCAACCTTCTACTTGTGGTATAGAACCATGTGGTACAATTTCAGAGCAATCAAAATACTTATACACAAGTTATTTTCCTGAAACTAGAAAAATGCTTGTTTTGGGCCCCTTTTTGGCCCCTAATTCTCAACGGTTGGGACCATCACCCCCAAAAACAATCCAACCTTCCTTTTGTGGTATTGAACCTTTTAGTTAAATTTCATAGAGGTCCATACACTTAAACTAAAGTTATTGTCCGGAAACCAAATGTCTTCAGAAGACGAGGACCAGGACGACGTGATAGCAATATACAAGGTCATATAAAAAAATAGTTATAAAGAAATATTTGACAACTAATGACTAAAATTAATTGAACAGAGACAATCATTAAAAGACAAAAATCCATTTACTTAACCATTTCTGTTCAAAGGGAAATAACTCAAACTTATTTCCATGAACCAGTGATGTAAACAGCAAAAATAGTTCTCTAAAATTAGATATGATTTCACCACTAAAAATAGTTCTCTAAAATAAGATATGATGTTATATCTATTTTCAAATTATAATCAAAAATCTAAATACCACTTAGATTCAGCATTTCAAAGAACACCAAGAATTTAATTTTTTTTAAATAAAAAAAAAGTTGTATTTTGGACCCTTTGGACCTAAATGTGGACCAATTTGAAGACAGGCCTCAAAATTAAAAAAAATCTAACAAGAGACCAAATGACAAAGAAATTAATTATTAATTTCTGTTCAAAGGGAAATAACTCAAATTCAAATAATAAAAATAAATTTCACTACTGAAAGGTCTAATTCTTTAATTTAAAAAATACAAGTACAACTGTGTTATATTTTCATTAAAGTACATATCAGTAAATAAATACGGCTATCTTACTCATTAAAAACCTCCAATTGATATCTTCTCCTAAATATAGTAACCAAACCATGATTAAACCCAACCAATACATATAAATTAGTCCTTAGGCATATTCCATACTTAAAATGTTTTAAATGTAAAGATTCAAATATTGTACTATAATATAGCTCATTATCTACCTAAATATCAATGTATACTAAAATAAATATAATGAATAAATATATATGGTTTATTTAAAAATTACAGCACATACTTCTACAGCCAAAAAGTTGCTTTCTCATGGCCAAAGTCTGCAAAGATATACAGATGACAATATATTATATACCTCATGACTAGATTGATTTTCTTATTTTATGTTAAACATTTTTTCAATATGTAATTGAACATTTGAAGAATGAATGTAAGAAATAAAATATGACAAAATAAATGGGGAATGTGTCCATGGGACACAGATGATGCCCCCGCTTGCATATAACGTTATAAAGGGACATAACTCAAGAACTGTAAATTACCCAACTACCCAAATGTGTACTTGATCTGAGTTTTGTGGTGATAAGCATTGTGTATAAGTTTCATAACATTTAGTTGAGGCAAACTAAAGTTAGAGAACAGAAACGAAAAATTCAGCAATTTTTCGTTCTGTAAAGGGGCATAACTCTAGAATGGTAAAAGTCACGCCACCAATATTCAAACTTGATCTGTGTTTTGTGGTAATAAGCATTGTGTATAAGTTTCATAACATTTGGTTGAGGCAAACTAAAGTTAGAGAACGGAAACGAAAAATTCATCAAATTTTCCATTTGTAAAGGGCATAACTCTAGAATGGTAAAAGTGATGCAACCCAAATACAAACTTGACCTGGGTTTTGTGGTAATCAGCATTGTGTATAAGTTTCATATCATTTGGTTGAGGCAAACTCAAGTTAAAGAAAGGAAACCAATTTTGGGATGTACGTCCGTCTGTACGTCCAGACGGACAAGGGTAAAACTTAATACCCCCTCCACTACGGCGGGGGCATAAAAATTTGCATTTTTCCTACTGGATCTCAAACAGGTTTTATTTAAATTTATTACCAGTCATTTAATTTTCATAAAGAAAGGTGTATGCTGAATGAAACATGATAGATCATGCATGATACAACTGAGCTAAGAATGCTACAACCAAACTCAATCCTATCCCACCCCTATAGAGTACATAACATCAAAATTCAATCAGATTTCAAATGGTATTGGAGATTCCAAATATAGAGACATATGAGAAGCAACTACATATTTGACCTCACTGTTTGTCTTTATGAACAACACCTCTCTCATTAATTTTGTCTTCAGCATGTACTTATAATTTCCCTAGTAAAAAATATGCATCAAATCTACTGGAATGCCATTACTTGTCATGGTTTGAAACAGATGACACTATTCTTTTTCTTAAATCAAATCTAGACGAAAATTTAGTGCATTAGATGTATAAATATGAAAATATTAAAAAGAATCAAATATTTTATAACACAATCTAAGATTTAAGATCTAAAGTGAATATCTTTTTAAATAAGTACAATGTGCATTGTAGCATATATAACTGGAAGAACTGTAATGCTAACTTTACTGTACATGATTGTAAATTCTTAACAACAAATAATTACATTCTGATTATCAAATGCACATACAACATATTAACTAATTTATTTGATCTATTGTGTATGAAGCTATCTCAAGGTATGAATGACATTGATCTTTGTCACTTCTTTTATCATTGTTAACACATATACATGTATTGAACTTTGTTAATCTAGATAAACTATTTTTCTGTACCTTTGCTTTGAATAAAGAATAAACAGTTTATATTTACAATGCACAAAGTGATTATATAACTACCAGGGACAGATTCAGGTTGGGTAGGGGGTTATACATGACGTGTGCTCCCCCTAAAATCGAAGAAAATATCGTTTTGCCATAAAACATGTTGAAATCTTTTGACTCATGCCCCCATTAACCTTAATTACTGGATCAGTGCCAGACTACAAAATGAGACTTTTTAGGAATTAAAAGGTTGTAGGGATAAATTATTCATTGTATTGCAAGGTCTTTAAAACAATTTTAAAAAAGATGGTAACAAAATATTAATGGCATTGACTCATTCCACCTCTTTAGCCAGAAAATACCCACATTATTACACAAATAAAATTAAAACGCTCTCCGTCAACCAATTGATGAGAACCCAATAGTGAAGATGAATCTATAAAAAAATGATGTAAATCCATATATATCAAATTTTTAGCAGGTAAAACACATTATTTACATTCTATTTACTGTACATATTCTTGCTTTCTTTCACAACCTGTATTATGAGCAATATGTTACACTATACACATTTTTCTCTTCTATAGTGTGTTTTAAGAAATGATTTTACTTCGTATTCATGTATTATTTGTGGAACATTGAATGTTTTAAAAATGCGAATTTTCTGTATAAAGTCAATAATTATGTAGCCCAAACTTTCTATTGCCTTAAATACGCAAATGAAAGATCCGAAAACTATACCAATACAGAATGACATGTTTTTGATATTATAGCAAACTTCTGGTTGACAAATTTTTATTTGTTATTGCAAAAAATCAACTTAAAATATCTGTAATTTTCTCCCTATCCAGTTTACCCCTATTACTTGTTATGATGTGGACCAGTCATTATTAGTTTACCATCAAACTGTTTATTTTTTCATACACATATACTGATTAAATCAGAACATGCATGAACGTGTACAGTTACTTAAAAGACCTTCAAACTAGACACTGGACGAGTCCATATTATTTTTTATCTATGAAACTTAAGGTATGAAAGGTAAAAATTACCACTTCTTATATTTTCACAAAATTTTCCACATATAGAGTAGATAAATTATTTTTGATAGCCTATTCCGGAGAAGAAAGGAAAGTTTACAAATCAAACTTTTATTCCATTAAACAAGTCATTTTTCAAAGAGAAATACTGAAATACATTTTACGTCAGGTAAAATTATTGTTCGACTTAACAAAAAAAAAACATTTTTCAGTTTCATTATAATATTATAATTCCAATTAATCCCAAACAAAAGTAGTCAGTAAATAAAGTCAAAATATGTCCAATCTGCCTATTTTTGGACCTCAAAATTCAATACAATCGTTTTAAGGTCCTTTTCGTCTACCTCACATAATCTTGTTAGGCACTACAGTGTAGAACTTTTTTTCACAATATCCCTTTCTGGTGTGCAATTTTTTCACAATTTCTTATTCTGGTGTGCAACTTAAAAAAATCTATTCCAGTGTACAACATTTTTTCACAATTTTCCATTCTAGTGTTAAACTTTTTCCACAGTTTCTACTTTAGTATGCAACTTTTTTTCACTATTCTAGTGTGCAATTATTATTCATAATTTTCTATTTTAGTCTGGACTTTATTCACAATGCTACTGGTCAGTGTTTACAAAATACCAAAGAGTCATCCTGCATAAAATGGGTATGTTTGGGGTGCAGGGCATTAATTTAAACACCACATGTCATGCATTAAAATCTAGCTTGTACAGGGCAGATTCTATGGAGACCTATCAGCTATGAAATATGTTATATAGCTATGTGGGCTTCTTTTTTAAAATATGGAGATTTCGACATTGAAACTTTTTCATGAAATCTTGAAATATTTTTAAGAAAAGCATGCATTGATAAGAACACTTAGAAATGAAATGAAATATTAAACTATAATAAAGCAAAATAAACATAAAATTGAAAATGTACTGAACAAGTAAAGATTGCAAGGTTTGTTCTTGTGAAATTTTGCACTATAAATTATTAACACAACGCTATAAACATGATCTGATATGTAAAAATATCTACATTTATTTCTAAATAATGTATTCATGATCTATATCTTCCTTCTGAGGTCTGCTTGTTTGGCTTTGGATATATATTATAAATCCCAGGATTCCATCCATTTTATGTTTCTCCATGGACTTCCCTCTTCCATTGATGACGGACCAGACATGCCATAAGATAATGGATAAAACAAGTAAAAGCTGAAAAAAAATATGGTACATGAATAATGATAAATGCTTCATCTCAAACTTCTGAAACAATGGATAATATTTCAGCAACATAATTAATATTACTGCAAATTAAATTTTTAAATGTTATCATCAAACAAGATGTACTGTGAGCTATTGCTATATACCTCTGTTTAATAAAAATGGGACCAACAACTCATATATGCACATTAAAGGAACAGAGATCCTGTAAGACTATATGGCACAGCCATATGAAGCTTTGAGCAATTTTCAAGAGGCTAAGACTTCTAGTTGCTGAGAAAATGTTACAGAAATGTGTTATCGATAGAAGGACATATGGCAAAGGTAAACCAGTTAAACTTCTCCTTTAGAGCAGGTGTATAACATTTTAGATGGAAATAACAAATCTATCTAGAAATGTCACAACATGATTATTCTTAAAAAAAGTTTCAGAAGATAAAATTCTAAGCCACAAACGAAGGATAATGAAAATTAAGTTATTTCAATAGTTCTCATGACCCACAGGAGGCGTTACACTTCGAGGCAAATGGACAGACAGACAGAAGGGTGGATGAATAAGGTGATTCCAATATACCCATCTAACTTTTGTTTGCACAGGGTAAAATAAGCATTTAAAAAAATTTAACTAAAGAAGAACGATTAGAAACTTGATTGTCCTTGTCAATTATTGGGCACTATCAATAAAACAATTACAGATATGAAATGTACTTAACACATACATGTTTATTGAAGCACCTTTATCACGATAAATAAAACCAATTTTATAAGCACCTTTAATTGAGATAGTAAAGCTAATGTTTGTCATGCACTTACACATGTTTGAACTTGAAATAAAATCATTGAAAATGTTTTTATAAATTTTAAACACAGATATAAAATGTTTGATTTAATGCATATTGTTGTCAATGGAAACATAGCATGGATTCATAGTTATTTCATCAAACAAAAATACCTTTGTGTCAAATAGACACTTCCTTATTTGCAAAAATACTGATTTAATAAAAAGAGAATATAACTGTAGGCAACAGTATGTTACCATCAATAAATATTTTTAATATTGAACCAGACAAGAACACCATCACAGGAAAACCTTGAATATCCTTCCCCATGCTGATCGAAGAATAAAATAATTAATTAATGCAAAACAGTGATATATGTGTTTCTCTAATTCTTCGTCAATTTATCCCTTTCTGCACCCATTGTATAAAAAAAATTTAATCAACGTGTGGTTCGTTTGATCTCAGTTCTTCATTGGTTAAAATCCGATTATGACGTCGAATTTTCTTGCTTTCCTCTGAATTTCCTATTGTGACGGCATGAAAAAAGGCGACCATGCTTGATGACGTCACATAGAAAGAACACATCTTTTTTCAGATCATTCAAAAAAAAGAGGGAATAAGTTTGCCTGCATATTGTTTGAAAATCATTAGAGAAACAGATTCCACCACCAAATCTCGTGTAATACAATATTTATCCACTCTCAACAGTTAAATTTTAAATATTTAAAACGCTCGGCGAGCCTCGCGTTTTAAATTAGAATATTTAACTGTCTCGAGTGGATAAATATCGTATCACACTCGATGCAGTGGTAGAATCTATATTTATATATATGTAAAATCAATTATCTGTAAAAATATTGATGGTTGCCTTTGTTAAGTAACAAAAATATTTGCTGAGCAATAAAAGGAATCAATTTTCAAACCACATGTGATTTGCGATGTCAATTTATTTTGAAAGCTTTTAGTACAGTAAACAATTGATTATTTTTATTTCATTAAATTCCACTGTTTATTGATTATAAAATAAACAAGACAATTCTGTTGATTACACATACACAATGGGAAATGGATATTAAATTCAGTGTGTCTTCTCAAGTGTGAAAATCTAGAGTGTTTTATTGAAAGAGAACAACACATCATGTTTTATTCAAACTTCAACATAGATATGTAATATAAAATAATCAATTAGAACGACCTGTTAATTTTACAGCTGGTGTCTGCATAGTTACATCTGATTCAAAAATAAATCTTTTTGCATGCTTTATATATAAAATAAAACTTTTAATAAAGATAAATGGGTTGTGAGAATGCATTGCTTCAATGATATTGAAGAGTCACTATTCAAATAATACAGCTATCAGTACACATACAAAACACAGTGTAATAACCCCAAAAATGTATTGAACATTCTGACAGGAACATCTATAGCAAATAAAAAAAACCAATTGAATAATGTTAGGTAAAGCAAATTAACAAGTGCTTCACTATAGCTCATTTTTACAAAGAGCCAGGGTACATTTAGCATCTGCTTAAAAGAGAAAAATGATCATGACTCCAGACCGATGTCATGCTTAGATTTCCCAAACTCCTTGATCTCTATTACTTTTGATCTTACACATTTTGCAATAAAATGCAATGTTCAAATCATACCAAATATGACTTAGTTTTGAAAAGGAGATAAGAATAGCTTTCCAAGCAGACTTAACTTGCATAAAAATTGAGAATGGAAATGGGGAATATGTCAAAGAGACAACAACCCGACCAAAGAGCAGACAACAGCCGAAGGCCACCAATGGGTCTTCAACGCAGCGAGAAAATCCCACACCCAGAGGTGGTCCTCAGCTGGCCCCTAAATAAAATTGTGTACTAGTTCAGTGAAAATGGACGTCACACTAAACTCCAAAACATATAAATGAACTAAAATTAAAAAACATACAAAGACTAACAAAGGCCAGAGGCTCCTGACTTCGGACAGGCGCAAAAATGCGGAGGGGTTAAACATGTTTTGTGAGATCTCAACCCTCCCCCTATACCTCTAGCCAATGTAGAATAAAGAAACGCATAGCAATACGCACTGTAAAACTCAGTTTAAAAGAAGTCCGAGTCTGATGTCAGAATAGGTAACAAAAGAAACTAAGCAAAATGACAATGATACATAAATTAATAAAGGACTACTAGCAGTTACTGACATGCCAGCTCCAGACCTCACTTAAACTGATTGAAAGATTATGTCTTCATCATATAAAATCAAGTACAATCCCTCCCGTTAGGGGTTTAGTATCATACCATCATAAAATATATGAGAAGAACATAACCCGTATCATGCCAACAACTGGTTTTAAAATAAAGTGTTTATTTCTGCCTATTTAACCAAAGTGAAGAGACATTTCTTTGATGAAAATAGCCTACTTGAAATGTTTTTGATATGAACATGCCATATTAAATATGAGAAAAAAGTTGTTACATATATAAGGTTGTTTACCCATAGAAGCGTCATTTCATGTGTCTTTCAAATAAGATTAAATGGGGAAGTAACTCAAATAAAAATAGACAAGATAGAAGAAGGAACAATAAGGCCCTTAATTGGCTAAAAATTTAGTTCACATTATTAAACTTTATTAAAGGTCAGAGTAGTTAAGAAAATAACGAGACCAATACCGTGTCTGGACCTGGTTCACTGTATGCAACTGATTGAGGTAACATGTATGCTTAAGCATAACTGATCATTCACTAAAATAATTGAAGCCAAGAAAATTTTATGAGAATTTTCCTTTTATACTGTGTGTTGTAATATTTCAAACTATTGGCAAACAGGAAGTGGCTGCACAGCAGATGTGTCTAAGGATACGGCTTTACAATTTTCAAATTAAAAAAGGGCATAACTCTAGAACGGTAAATGACTCACTGGCTAAATTTGAACTCTGTCTGTGTATTGTGATTAATTGCATTGTATATGAGTTTCTTTGGAAGAGACAAACTTAAGTTAAGAGTGTTGCAATTTTCCAAGTTATAAAAGGGCATAACTCTAGAACAGATAATGACATACTGCTAAAATGTAAGCTCTGTCTGGGTGTTGTGTTTTTTTAGCATTGTGTAAGAGTTTCATAAAATTTGGATGAAGCAAACTTACATTAGAGTGCGGAAACCAATTTTCCAAGTTATAAAGGGGCATAACTCTAGAACGGTAAGTGACTCACCAAGGGTAACACTTAATGCCCCAGTTGCCTACGGGGGGCATAATGGGGCATAAAAAAATGCTACAACTCAACTTTTTCAAGCTGCAGACCAAATATAAAATTATTCCCTTTCATTGAAGCCAAGAAAAGTTTGACAGAATTTTTCCTTGTACAATGAGAGTTGTAAAATTTCAAACTATCAGCAAATAAGGAGTGGCTATAAAAATTGCTCATTCACTACAACTCAACATTATCAAGCTGCTGACCTAATATAAAATTATTTCCTTTCATAGAAGGCAAGAAAACTTTGTTTTCTACCTAAGGTCTTTCAGACAGTTGGACAGACAGACGGAATGAAAGGAGTCTAATGGTTATAAAGCTATTTTCAGTTTCTCTCTAGTTTTTACCAATAGTGAAAACAAATACGAGTGACAATCATCATTGAAGGCCAACAACAGATTTCTGTATGGTAGATCTTTTTAGCTGTTCATTTTTTGCTGTGTACAGTATCACTCGATCTATTCTTGTTTTTGCCAAAAAAGCAAAAATGGATAAAAATCATTACTGAAATACATTAACTTATAAATGACCACTGATGTATTTTGATCATGTTGACTTATTCATAGATGTGGTTAAGTTGCTCATTTTTGCTGTTCAATAACTCAAAAAAAAAAAATCTGAAAATTATCATTTGTGGCTAAGGAGTTAGCTGTAATTTATTTTAATCCAAGTTGTCATCTTATTTTTAGATCTTGCTGGTAATTTGCAAAGATTTTAAAGTTTCTGTCTATCTCCTAAAGTTTTCAAGTAAAAAAGCATAAAACTAAAAAAATTGCTAATAATTGACAGTTTAGGGGCAATAAGTCCAAATGGGTTGTCTCATTCATATGAAAATTTCAATGTATACAGATCTACTAATTATTTTGATTTCATCAGATTTTCTCTAACTGCTTTAGTATTTGAGATATGAGGTAACAAGAGGCTGTCAGTGTGACAGCAAACCGGATTTTCCTGCAGAGGTCGAACCCTGAACAGT